ATGTCAAGTCAATGTTTGAGATGACAGTTATATAAACAATGAAAGGTGAATGTAACATGCTCTCCGACAGGTAACGAGTTCAGCAACAGTTATAGAACGGTACAAGTATTATTTTTTGGTGGAAAATGCACGAATACATACTGTCAATTGTCAGAACAACACATTAACTTATACAAGCATTTACTAAGTTCGGAGAGCGTCATTTCATGTCCCCCACGTGGCGAAATTTCAACAGCTGAAAACATTACTTCACGAGATTGACACAACTAAAAAGTACCTCAAAGTCTTGCATAAACATAAACTCTATAATTCTAAACGAAGTAAGACATGCTTACGGTTGAAATAGCTCCTTTCTTGTCTTTTTTTCCGACTTCACACCACTTTTCCGCCATCTTGTTCTTGCCGCTGGGCACGCAGTGCTTGATGGGTACAGTGGAGCACATGTTACCACAGGAAGCCCAGAAGTGGTACGTGCTCGTTTTCCCTCTACGTTTTATTTCTCTTTTCCAGTATATTTTCCATGTTTTTACTTTTGTACAAATTAGGTTCTAACGGAATAATGTAAGAATCAAATCAAATAATGTTACAATAGGGTCGCTTAGTTGTTCTCTATTGTATATAACATGGTCAATATTGAGGGATAAACGATCATATTTTCTTTCTTTTCCATTCTTTGTGCAAAAAAGAGAGCCCGCTTGCTTTCAATATACCTGGAGCTACTTTATCTTCAGTCGATTTTGAATTCTCAAGTGTGCTTAAACTAGATATGAAGTGTTTGTTTTCATAAATAAGACAGTGGGATTTAAAAATATTTTCTCAAACAACAAAAACATGATAATATTTCGACTGGTATTCATTGTGTTGTGAAGGCCAGCGACCCCACCTTTTATTCTTATCTAGCTCAGTGATGATAAAAAAAAGAAAATATAAAAGAAAAATATAAATGCAAATAATATAAGTGATCTCATGCTTTTAAACATGTTAAAAGGTCGCTCTCTTAATGCACAATAAAGTAGTTCCCCAAAATCATTAAAAAAACGTATTTGTTAAGAATTTTTGATCAAATGTTTCAATTCGGCTTATCACGTGACGCAATTCGAAGTGGATAAGTGTGCAGCAAAAAATTCAAAGCAAACATATTTTAGAAAATATAGACAATTTTGTTTAGGATTTACTACAGGAAGGAGATGAAGTCATAAGCTTCTTACGACTTATTTTTTTATGCAAATTCGGCACATTAAGGCTAAGTTTGAACCTGAAGTTTTCSTTTAAATCTATTATTCCTTTTGCTTATTATATTAAAGTACCATTATATTCAAGTTAAAGACAAACAATATTTAATTGTGAATGTTTGAGCACGAATTCTGCGTGAAAAAGAGAAATGCAGATAAGAAAAATGCAAGGGACTTCTATTCTACTTTGCATTTAGTTTTTTTTYTYCCGTTACCTCTATTAGTTCATCGGTCTTTGACTCTGTTAAAATTCTATCGTAAAGTTCTGGCGCCGGYTAGTGACGATTTTCTGTTCGTGAAGTGACAATTTAAATTTACGATTATACAGATATTTCAATTATGAACGATTTGTATCGGCGTCTTATATCGGAAAGGTCATCGGTAAAAGATTAAAGCGTAATGAAATAGATGTAAAAAGAAAACAGCATGGAAAAAATAACAATAATAAGCAAAAGAGAAAGTAACAGAAAAAGGAGGGAGAAAGAAAAGCAAATATAAGATTCATAGAAAGAGGAYTGAGAAAAGAGGATAAAGAGAGTAAGAAAAGAACGACGAACCATAAAGAAAATTGAAAAAAACAAAATATTAAAGAATACAAATGAAAAAATGACAGGAAAACACAAAAGAAAAAGAAAGGAAATAAGAAATAAAAATGGAAGGAAGAAAAGAAAAATGTAAAGAAAAACGATAAAATATAAAAGAGGAAAATGTAAAGAGACAAAATGAAACAAAAAACAAAACAAAACAAAACAAAAAAAATACACACTTAAAAAGAAAGTCCAAGAAATAATCTGGAACTGCAAATATYATATCGAGAAAAGGTAAAATCTATGGACGAATAAAAAATGCGAACCCATTAAGAAAGTCTTGCTAAAAAAATCTTAGYCATCACAGCATGATCAAGATAGTTTAATTTAAAAGTTCATGGCGGATCGATAGATTTTTATTTCTTGACAGCCTAAGGGTAATTGAGATGATATCTAGTTTTGGGGATCATGATAAACCATTCTGTTATTTAGAAAGAATTGTTATTGCAGCCGTGATARTTTCAAGATAGATAAAAACACGCGAAAATGAAATTTGCTTGTCAGGGTTCTGGGATATTGGATACCTCTGAAAGATTATTCATTGCCTTTTCAACGAAGTCTCATCAATTAAAAGTTTAATCAAGTGGACCTTAAAAGTCAGTATATGTTTATAAAGGATATTAATAATATATTTGTTCTAGTATTGTATTTTCTCACAGTAGGAATCAGTTTCTATAGAATAGTATAATCATTCATTCCTTTTGTGCCTTGGCGAGTGCAACTTTAATAAAGAAATTTCTCACAAAATTACATTCTTTGATTGAGTTCTATTTYTATTTCACAATTTGCTCCAGTAGTTAGATTTCAATTGAGTTGGAATTGAATTCGACTGTTGCTACGTTACACGGCTGTGCACAATGTAAGGTCACGTGACTTTGGGGAAACGCTGAAAATATTGCAAAACAAATTTATCATCGACAAATACGCTATTCGGTGACCATCTTRTCAACCTCTTAAGTTTGTTTACAACGAAAGAAGCTAATGACAAAAAAATATGATAAAATTCCATATTTTATTTATTAGACAATGTTACTAGTAGACCCGAGTGCACATTGGTTTCATTTACTCGACACTGAAATGGCTTTATTTATAGGCACGTTAAGTAGCCGACACTGTAATGGCTTCCAGTATTAAATGCAACTATTAATACAATCTATCTTGGAATTTGCTAAAATACTGAAAAATTGATCATAAAATGAATTCAACATGAATTCAAAAATACTCTGGGGCTAGTTTTTCAAACATTTCAAAATATTTTTCTTTCAGATTTTGTTGCTATAAAAATATTAGCTTTTGAAATTAAATAATTACAATGATACCGACGAAAAGGAATCATCGTTTCACCCGCGAGCGATTAATTTGGAACGGTTTCATGCACGCACAAAAAATGAAAAACAACTGTCACGGCAAACGAACAATCATTTCAAAAAACGCTTGAACTACGTGGGAGAAACATTCATTTCTTGCTGTTATATTTAATAAAAAGAAAAGTTTATTCTTATAGTCACATACTGTCGTATTCGATGATTACAGTAACATATGGCCGAATACAGCTTAAAGCGAAATTGACACTTTCTGCCTATTGAAATCATCACTGTTTTGGCATGACTGTAACTGTTTTCGAGAAAAATCCCTAATCTCCTTTTTCAATAACGCTAGTGTTCTGTTAGTGTTCTCTGATCGTAGCGGGGAGCTTCTAAACTTATAATTATATTCTCATATCGTATGGGGCTTTAACAAAATGCTGACAGTTCGTCTTGTCATTCTATCGAGATTTCGGCTATCTTTATCAATGGATATTCCTTTTAAATCCAGTTCTTCCATTTAATATTTAAACTTACATTTAAGACWAGTCTGTTTGGCGCGCTGTTTGAGTAAAAACTATACAGAACTAGAATTGAAATGAGAGTACTTTATTTTAATACAGTACATTTGTAAAAAGATGCCGATAGCCAACTACGGAGATAATTAAACTGCAAGTTTCTAAGCTCAGATTTTTTTAAATTATAGTTTTGCTATAATAATACTAAATACTAATACTAAACTGAACTCATTCAGACATATTGATTCGAATACAAGTCTGGGTTTTAACTACACACACTTGTTTAATCAACAGAACCAATTTGATTTGCTGTCAAAATAAGGAAATGAAGCCTTCCTTGTTGAAATCTGAATGAAAACTGATTCAATGAACTTTGTGATGAAAATATGTTTACCGTATTCTAATCAACTATGACATGGCCAAGGAACAGATGCTCACTTAGGCTGTAAATTAATAAAAGCTTTACTTAAAACAGGTGAATAAGATGCAAATCTATTCTCTCGTTTTTTTTTGTTTTTCTCTTTGAATCATGTTGAGTATTTATACTTTTCGTGTTTTGTTCGTTTGGGAAAACATTCATTATTCCCAGCAATTGTCTCTGAAATACACTTTTGTTACATTGCCGAATCTATTTTTGCWATATTTGTTTTACATGTTAGAATTTTAGTCCTATAATTAAACAATATTAGCTAAGGCAAGCTGTTACTGAGTCTCTTTTGCTGTTTAGACAGCGTTATGTGTTTAAATCAAGGGCGTGATTTTGTACAATACTGTCATGTATGTACGAGTATGTGCAYTGGAWATGAATAAAGAGCGCGCACTTATGATTTCGGAAGCGTTCGGTACGATACACGATTGTGAGCCCAATATTGTTGACATTGTAAGAGTACATTAGTTGCTTGTGAAACAAAGATACAATAGTATAGATGAGACGTACGGTGCATTATGGCATAATACTCCTCTATCGTCATATATCAACGCAGCATGCGCCTTCAGTTTTCTTGTAAACCCACTGCAAGCCATCTTCCATAAYACCCTTCACGAATAATTAAACAAGTCTTAAACTCATGGCAAAAGTTAACTCTTTTTCGTTAAGTAATGCCATGGTAATTGTCTCACATTACTCTAATTTCAATATCACTTTCCATTCGCTTGTCGCGTCTTCAAAATCCCGCCAAAAACGAACCAATCACGACTYGTCAATCGAAGAACGTCAAATTCTCAGCCAACTGCTGATTGGATGACACTTTAGCGCGCGTAAAAACCATTTTTAGTAGGTGTCAAGCAAGCATAACTTGCTGGCATTATAAGTAATAATCTACTTAAACTGGGGTTATTTTAACGTCGTTATACTACTCCCAGCTGGTCGAAATTACAAGAGAGTTCGATTTGATATTTGTTTTTATCGCTTGATGGTTATCAATGCGACGCGAGATCTGATCTGGTTTGAGCTGGTTCGACCATTAAAAACGCCTTTGATGCKAGGACGACTCAGCATTGGCGGASTGAACTKTAAGAGCGGTTAGTTTATTTTCTTTCGGCTCAGCGACCCAATAATTACTCCAAACTACAACACTCGTAGCTCCGATACGCAAAAAACTACGAACCGKAGTCAGGTGGCCAGTGGGTGATCAGTTGAATATTCAACAACGAGAAAAACTATCAGCGCTGGTAATTTCATCATTGAATATGACAGATTCCTTTTGCCGGCATGAATTTAATTGCTTGCCATATGAACTGACAACCAGGTTTAGCAATTCAGGCGGTGGATTTTAATTCTCTGGCAAGATTAACATATACATGCGTGTATTTATGTKCTGGAACGAGAGCAGACGATTCACTTTCGATTCAAGAGGGAATCTTCGCTACAGTAAATATTCTAGAAACCACGACGTTTTGTGTCTACACTTGGAGTGATCATCGACAACAAAGAGAGGAATTCCTTGGTGTGACGGAAGATGGCTAATGTCACCATTGCTTTCATGGAAATAAAAAATTGGTTTTAATCCTAAGAAAAGGAAATATGGTGTAAACACAGACGTTATGGAGATGCTACTTCAACGTACGACCAACAGACCATTTCACTCTGTCTTTTTTCTAAGTCTGACATGTTTAGTATTCTTGTCGCTTGTTCATTCAAACAGTAATGTCAAGAATATTCGAGTATCTGAGGGCATTCCGCCGGCAAGCATTTTATTGACTTTGCCAGCTAAGCATGGATTTAGATATGTTCTCGTGTACGCGTCCGGTAATGGTGCGAGCTTGTTTCATGTCAGCCCTCGGGGGATAGTAAGTACTAAAGCAACGCTGGACTACGAGAATCCGCATGGTTATATATTCGATCTAGTAATAGTCTGTCGGGAGAATAATCGAGTCGAAGGAGGCATAGCTACCAATGTGCGGATTACTGTGCTAGACATAAATGATAATAAGCCAACATTTCCACGCGACCTCTACGCAGCGACTGTCTCAGAGAACAGTCCATCGGGGACGTATGTACAAGGGCTGGAAGGTGTCTACGCGCAAGATGCTGATTCTGCATTGAATTCAGTGCATTCATACACGATCACGGCAGGAAATGAGGCGGGAATGTTTGCTGTTCAAATGAATGAAATTGCAGGCGTGAAGTTCCTGCTCGTGAAAACCACAGCACCAATAGATCGAGAAAAAAACCCATTCTTCGTATTGACAGTTCAGGTCCGAGACAATGGAACCAACGTGCTGTCGAGTGAGACACAAATCCGAATTAATATTCTGGATGAAAACGATTGCTACCCGCTCTTTCACCCTCCGATTTATTCACTAAGTGTCAACGAGAACACTGCTATCGGCACTTCCGTTTTGCAGGTCACGGCGCTAGACGACGATGATGGCCGTAATGGCGAGGTTTATTATCATTTTAGCAAAACACACGATTTCTTTGGGATCAATGCACACACTGGAGTTGTCACAATTACGAGTCAATTAAGTTTTGAACAAGGGAATCAATTTGATTTGAATGTTGTGGCTGTCGACCGAGGAAGAGTTACCAGGCTCAACTCTTCTACCTTGGTGAAAATTCGTCTCAAGGATGTTATAGGTTACCCACCGAAYGAGATCAATAAACCGCTTCAAAAGCCGACATTCGAGCCTGAAAATTACTACGTTAAAATACGCGAGGATTTGCCGGTCGGTGCAGCCATTGTTCACGTTCGAACTGCTGCTGATGTTGAATACCGACGACATTATTTTAGCTTTGAATTGTTTCCCTCAAAACTGCGGGGGACTTTTAAGATGAATGCTAAGAGTGGAATAATATGTTTGTTAAAACCTTTAGATTTCGAATCGTCTAGTTTGTATATTTTAAAGATTCGTGTAAAGACTGAAAACCCAGTCGATTATGTAGCTGAAACGGAGGTGCGTATCGAGGTGACTGATGTGGATGAGAATTTCTATTCACCGGTGTTTGGGTCGAACACGATCGTCAAGACGATAACCCCAAACGCACCTAAAAACACTATCATCGAGCGAGTATCAGCCACCGATAAGGATATTGGCTATAATGGAATCGTTAAATATTCTGTAACCGGAGGAACCGGTGCCGGGAGATTTTTCCTGGACGAGGACAAGGGATTATTAAAATCGTTCGGCAGTCAAAACATGGAAGCTGATTCAAGATATGATTTGCATATCGAAGCCCGCGATAGTGCAAAATTCCCGCGCTTTGCACACATGTACCTACTTGTAATCGCCGGCTCGCGACATCAAAAACGGCCGTATTTTTTAACACCGTCTTTGAAGGCAAGTCTTCAAGAAAACAGCGATAAAGGTTCATACGTAGCTGCCATTAAAGCAGAATTCAAAGGAAGACTTTTCACCGATAAGAATGGTATATTTGAATATAGTATCAATGGAGGAAATGAAGACGGGAGTTTTAGCATTGGAAAAGAAACAGGTAAAGAACCTTTATTAAAGAATMCTCACTCGTTAGTTTTTGATACCATTTTCGACAAATATTAAAAAATCTTTCTCGCGTAACCGCACATGAATTATCAATACTGAGATGACTAGGTCGGGAGTATGATAGCCTTATTCGGCAGATAAAAATAATCGGACGACCAAAAATCCATCAGAGGATATCCACTTTGAGTGGTTAAGCACAAAAATGCGATAAAGCCCTCACTCAGCTCCACTTAGAATATATTAATAAAAGAATCGCATTAGGCCGAGCAAGTTTGCCGCAAGAATCTCAAAAAAAAGGTTGATAACAACACAAAATAACAGCATGACTAAAAAACTTTAGCATCTCAGTTTTYCCTACATAATACCAGTTTGGTGGGGATAAACTCTTTTGGCTAATTACATCGATCGAGTTTCGCCATTTGGCGTGGATTTTCTCACTCGCAAAGTAGTAGAAACACGTCTATTTTCAAACAAWTTAAACATTTTCAGTTTCTATTAATCGACTTGGTCTTGAATTGTTAACGATTTTGCGCCAATCTCATGTCAAATGCGGCCAAACAAGTGTTTATTTTTATTTGGTAGCCAAGTAAGTGATTGATCAAAAAAAAGCGTTCATCAATAATCTACCAATGACAGGTGCCGATTGGATTATAAGATGTATGACAGAACTCGCAATTAGGATTTCTATTCTATAACAGGTTAATCTAGATATACGGACATCGATAAATGTCATAMAAAGCAGTCATTCAAGGAAACAGGTTTATGCTTTTTTTTTACGTTTTAAACGTAAACAATTCCGCTGGACTTCTCTAGCCTTCCACTCCAGTTCCTTAAATTCAAGTACATCACTTCAAAAACAGAGCAATAAAGTGCAAGTGTAATTATATTCAGGATGTTCTATCCGGCATTTTGTGAATAGAATTTTCATTTATATATTCATATGTTCATTTTACTGTAAATTGTTTTTTTTCCTAAATTGTTTACAAATCAAAACCTCTTTATATTTTGAAGACTTTAAATTTTCCGATAGTTATTTTCGGGAGATGATGCATACTTACAGATATATGACATGTCAATTTCAGTGGTGTATATGATTTTGATAATATCATATCTTCGTGCTCGATTTTGCCGAGCTTAAGCGCATTACGAAACTTGTATTTGATTTTTATTTATGTTTTGTACTATGTATAAAATTTTAGCCTCTCTTAATAGTATAAATAAAATTGAAATAACGCGGAAGAAGAACAAATATTTACGATCTATCAATTCAAGAAAACTAACGATTGTTTACAAATATTGCACCGAGAAATTGTCAAATTCTTTAATCAAGAATTGATAAAAGTAAATAAAATACAATAATAATAAAATAAAAATAAATGAAAAAAAGGAATAAACATTTRCCGACAAATGGGCCGACAGTATCACTGGAGTTGAGCGACATTTGTTTTTTTTTAATATACAAGGTAGCGGAATTCAAATATATTTGCTATAGTTTCGCTTTCTTTTAATATAAAACCATTGGTAACTAATACACAGCAACAGTTTATATATGATCTCATGTTMAAAAAAAACCTACAACAGATGTACGCCACTGGAAGACTGCGAGCTCACATAACGCAGAGGTGGAATTGYAAATRGGAAATTGATTTTCTCAAGTATGCCTTCTAAGTGCTTGGCCTTCTAAGTCTTTAAAACCCCAATTGTATTATACAAACAGAACTTGAAAAGAATTAAATGTTGGTCTAAAGTTTGTAGTTTAGCGAGGATCTTTTATGATCAAATACTGTGCACTATAGAATGACTATGTATTATTCATAAATCCTGTTCGTAAATACTCGGAAATTTCAAAACGCATCTGCTTCTTGATGAAGGACTTATACGTTTATAAATAAGAAAAAAAAATCAGGTATTTTTGGAATATTTTGGCGATTTTGGAGTACCTCTAGGGCTTTCGTGATGAGAATTTCATTTTCAGAACTCCCAGCGTTCATAATTCATCAAATGTCCCAAAATTTCAAAATTGATTCGCTGCTCGCTGAAACATTAATACCTTTGAAGAGAATCAATGTGGTACGAAGTATTCCTCGAACAATCTTACAGGCAAAACAAGAGCTTTGAAAATCATCAATTTTACATTATGCACAATTACAGCGATAACTCCTTTCTTTAAAAGTTTTCTCTGGTTCTTTTATTCACCGAGAATAGATGGGTTTATCGATCTTTAAAGTGTGTGTTCTACCCATTATATAGGAGAAATGTTTTTTGTTTTCTTGTCAATTCTACCACGGGGCCACGATTATTCGTTTAATTATGAATAGCAAATTTTCTTGTGGCGAGGCCAGACCCGTAGTGCCATTGTGCTCAAAACCTCATTTTGGTTAAATATTTCAAAGGGACTGCTCAGGCCAAAGAGCTGTCGTAATGATGAGGGCGGGTACTCGAGATAAGATGACGCTTGACAACTTTTATTCGCTAGAACTTTTCAAAATGTTAAAATATTTAGGAACTAAGATGAAGCAAGAGGCTCTTTTCGAAAGCTAAACGCCATGAAATATTGATGAAATTAGAGCTTGCACCTCCCCGTGAGTGTCAAAGAATTATTGATAGTTTGTTAGCAGTAATGAAGATCTTTGAGTGTCATGGAGGGGACGTTATTGGACACCCAGTGTTTGCTTGAGAGTGTCAAGTCTATCACGATTGACGCTGGTTTATCACTGTTTTTTTCTTAATCTTTTTTGAAATACTTCTTGAAGCGAAGTTAATTGAGTGGAATGAGATCCAAAGGGTTTGTTTGAGTGTGAGAAACACGATCRTTAACATCGTGATTTCTGAACTTTCTAACGCATTAATCTTTACAATTTATATACCACTGACAAAAATAATAGATATTCTGATATGTATTTGGTGCAATACTTCTTTTTTGCTTACGTGCAACTAATCTATTTGTGAACAACACAACTGTTTTCGCATCGTTTTATTTTTAACACTTCTTTTTAACTTATAAATACCRGCAAATCCCCGCTATAGCGTAAGGGAACAAGTGCGTCTTTAGTTGAACATTTRACGCTTGAAGCATAACCTCAAACAAAACAAAACGATTATGATACTTTGTGTTTACGCTTGTATTTATGCAACAATAACAAGAGCCCCAAGGATTTGCGCTGTAGTTCTATATTTCGCATCATATCAAACGTTTTTTGCTACGTATTTCAARTTTTTGATGCCGTGATGTTAAATGTAAATAACGACAATAACAGCGCTGTTGTGTACCTATTTATACTAGTAATAAGGRTCATTAGAAATAAATACGACAAATACCCTGAGGGCGTAAAGATATTTTTTTTRATATGTTATAAGAAAACATTCTGGCTTTCTTTTTTTTTTTCAACAATTACTAGTACAAACAATTCAGGCTCTTTTTTATTTGTGAGGTTTGACTTTTTCATAAACTTTATTGTGTKGAAGACATTGTGAATACGAGGAACACTCAGTCTGTCTTAAAAAAAGTAATCTTGTATATGATAAACAGCGTTCTGGATATGTAATTGTTTACCGCGAAATTGTTTTTTTTTTCAGAAATATAAGAAAACTAGTTTTGCTAAAAGAATCATTACTTTTATCGTTTTTTTTAACGTGTGCGTGTTTTCCTTCTTTTTTTGACGGAGAGCTCTAGTGTTTGATATTAGTCGTGCCCTAAAGGCGTTGTCACTCACAAGGTTTAAAAAGCGTTGCTACCCGAGGCACTAAACAACTGAGGCTTATTCACGTTACGACATTCGTTTCTTCTGCACTGCCATCACATGACTCATCTGATTCAAACTTTCTATAAACGCACGAGAACAAGATTTTTAACCAGAAATCCATACATTACATGTATTAGGGCATCATCGGTTATCAATATTCACACTACAGCTAGCGAATTGTGAACATGTTTATCGAAAATATAACGTGAAAAATAAGACTATGAAATATAAGAAATAATAAGAAATGATCTATACATGTGAAGCGCCTGTGAACTCAGAGGATATCGGCGCTATATAAATACTACATATATTATTACCTAGCTGTTTTAGTTTTTTTAGTTTTTTTTTTTCATATGGATGACTGCGGATATTTGATTTGAGTTTCTCATCTATCTTTCTGGTACTATTTTGCTCAACAGAGGATTGTTTGTCCTTAAGGATGGCTATAGTAGGGAAATCTTTCCTTGGGATAGTTGTCAGAAAGGCTTTTAGTCGGGTGCATTGAACATTAAAGTTATTTGGTATAGATTCTCAAAGATAATCGTTTTCTTAAAATATGGAGTATCTGTTTTTCATGGTATGATTGGTGGATGGATTGATTGACTGACCGATTGTTTGGCGAATTGACTGATTGACTGGCAAATTGACTGATTGACTGGCGGATTGATTGATTGACAGATTTGTGGATTGATTGATTGATTGATTGACAGATTGATTGATTGACAGATTGATTGGATGATTGACAACTTAATTGGTTGATTGATTGATCCACTGACTAGCGTTTCATTTTCTAAAGGTGTTATCTACACAACAAAGAGCCTGGACCGTGAAAGAAAGTCTGAATATGCTCTGGATATACTGGCAAGGATTACTGGAGCCTCAGACAARATGAGCACACTGTCCCAAGTGATYGTCACRATAACYGAYGTCAATGATAACGTACCTAAGTTTATAAGCGAAGTATTTCAGGTATTATCAAAAATATGATTACTTCATTTTTATCAATGTGTTYTTCAGAGATTACATGTAAAACCTCAAAAGGGGGAATTGAAAATCCTTGATATATCATAACTAAGATGACCCAAACATGCACAAAACTGTGAACGTTTGCAACTAAATAGAAACTCTAGACCGGGTTGTTCAAAGGCCAATTAGCGCTAATCCTGGTTTAAGCCTGAGAAAACCTATGGAGTTAACCCTGGATTAATGCTAACCTGCCTTTGAACAACCCAGCCCTATATTAAAGTATCAATTGTTCTTGATTGAGTAACACTGCAAAATTATAAAGTACAGTGCGGTATCTGTTCCTTGCACTGATATCAAGTACAGACTGACAAATTTGATACTGATGAATTATCTAGGAGAACAATGGTCCAAGGTGTCAACTACAGTTGACCTTTTATCTTTGGTTCGACAATTGTTGATAGCCGCCATGTTTATAACCTCTTGTTCATTGACATCCAACATGGCGGCGATAGCTTTGTGACCTTTGTTCTCTATCATAGTCTATTTGGTGTTTTACATATTTAGATATGTAGCCTGAGTATCAGGCTCTCTCGAAGGGGTTTGGTCGCTCCGCCCCAAACCCTTTCGAGAGAGCCTGATACCCAGGCTATTAGATATGCGTATTTAGACGTATATGTACGTATAAGTACGCTTGCTTGCCAAGCTTATTGCCTCTTTGAGTTAAGGTAAGCTTATTAAAATGACTTAAACTGGCAAGGAAAACGCTCCCAAGGGACTAATTTACATAATAATGAACAAGACTTACCTTCAAGAAACGATAAAACCCACGATACTGCACTTGAAAGACGCAAACAGAAGAAAAATCCTGCCTAAAAATGGAATTTGTTGAGAAATCATCCGTCCAAGGGCTCGAATTAGTTCTTTGTCCTGCGCTCTCTTGGGTCAGCGTTTTCGCGCCTCGTACCCAGTCACTTTCGCGCGTAAATTCAAAATGGCGGATGTATATAGACTTTCTGCTTTCTTGTTTRTCGTTCTTAGGTCAAAATCAAAGAAAATCAAGGGCCTATAGATAACCTACTATGCCTCATCGCTACAGATGCAGACATCGGTGAAAACGCCAACCTKACATACTCAATCGTTGGTGGAAATGMCCAGGGATTGTTYTCCTTGCATCCAACTCTTGGAGTTCTGTCAGTCCGAGACTCTCTGGACTTCGAAAAGTCTGATCAACATGGATTGATTGTTCAAGTAAGTGATGCAGGAGTTCCAGTTCGAAGCTCGACGGCCAAAGTGAAAGTCGTCGTTGAAGATGCGAACGACCCGCCGGTGTTTGTGCAGAAGACTTATGAAGGTAAGCTTTTTATTGCAATACAGCTTGTGATAAGCTTACGTTTTAGGCTATTACCACTAGACTATCAATTTCTAGATACTCCTATTTTGAGATTTTCAAACAGATAAGTAATCAAATTCCAAAATCAAAATCTTAGGAAGTGTACTAATTAGTTGGGGAAGGGGAGGGACAAACTGGGCAATAGCTAATAAATGGACTAACAGTGGCGGATCCAGGATTTTTCAAAGGGGGGTTCCACTTTGTTTTCACATTTTCCTAAAACGAACTTTTTTACTGTGCCTCTCAAACTGTAGCAAATGTAAAGATACCCACATTTCATTTATCTTTTTTTTTTATGCCTGAGGGGGGGTTCCTAGGAACCCATGGAACCCCCCTGGATCTACCACTGAGTAAGATTTGTAGAACCATCTTTCTTGACCAATTAAAGTGTTACGAATCTAAATAAAACCAATACTGTCTTAATTCAAGAATTTCTTTTATAGATTTTTCAAATAACAGTGCACTTGTTTACCTTCATGCACTGGGAAAYACACACACACACTCCAACCTGTACTCTAAAACAGTTTGCACATTCACCCCCCAATGCTTACTTTGCACATTTCTTATACTTKCAACCCCGATCTTCAAGCTTTACTTTGCCATGATTTTTCTTTTCATATCCATGTTCCATTCTTAGAGGTCTTTTCTTTCTTACATGCATTCTTTTCTTTCTTGAGCTTTCCASAACTACAGAAATGTGTTCAATATCATATGCATATTGTTCAATCTCATATTCATTTCTTTTCCTTTCTTTTGTCCTTTTCCTTTTGTTTTCATTTCTTTGTTTTACAAACTTGACTTCACCGGAGCTTTGTTTGAGCTTTCTCATTCTTTCTTTTGATTTCTTTACTTCAAATTCAAGCATCAGAACTATGACTCTACCCTTCTCTTTTTCATTTCATTTCACTTTCCACTACACGCAGAAACTGCACATGGTAATTCATCTCACCACAACAAATACTTCATAACATTCTTAATCACATTATATTATTCACCTAAACTAATTAAACCCTTAATAACAAAAAAAATCCAATCATTCATCTTTAAATAACATAATGCATGTGATAACCTTAATCAATGATGTTATTAGTGATAATTGATAACCATTAATAATATGCTGTTTTCCTCTCCTAGTAGAAAAACTAACTTGGTTGTGGCATTGTTTATTTAGTGATTGTATCAGATAGCACCAATGCTGGGACAATCATTGCTGTTCTTGATATAACCGATGAGGACAAATTGAATGGATTCTCTTCTGGTAACTGTCTAGCCTATCTTCTCTGTTGTTCTTAACATTTGCATTCTTCCTACATTAATTGTTAAGGTGTTGGGATTAATATAATATAATCATTGATGTATTACATGTATCATGAAGTTGTTTCATAATGAGTATGAAAAAATACAGCCTATTCTCTGTACTCAGACCTGGAATCACCTCATCAGAATAGTGTATATATTATACACTTGTTCTAAATGGCATGATGTGTGATGCTCTTAATAATGTGTGACAATAAGCCATGCAGTAAGGAATGATGTTTGATTAAGACTTCTTTGTTCTACATTCAAAGTCTTAAAGTGTTGTTGTTCCTGTCATCTGCYTGCACTRTGATAACCTCATTTAGGAGCTGTKTGCATCTGCAAACTGTATGGTGTTTGATKTATATAGCTGTGGATTGAAATGTGACCAACATTGCATGAGCAATGCATGTATTCTTGTTGTTGATATTGTTATTTGTAGCTTGCAATGAGTAATGGGTAATGCCGATTATAGTTTGCACATTGGTGATTCTCTTGAGACTTTCCATTGAAAGCTACTTTGCATTTACTACAATTGGACAATTATTTCCTTATGAATTTTATCTCGGAATATATGAGGAATGGCATGCAATGAATCATGGGTCCCTGGAATGGACTATGCAACCCTGCACGACCAAGAATCTCCCTTCTTATGTTATGATGGATGCAGCATGCACACATGGGAACTTTGTTGTCTAAAGTTCTTGGGCATGCTTACTTCTCTTATTCACTGCATGTAGATTTTCTCCTCGAGTTCTTTCCAAATAATGCATGATTAGGGCAGCATGCTTTGCACTGTGAATGGCTTGCAATCTTGCAATCTAGTATAATGAATAAATTTAATATAAATAGTTAATGAATATAATATCACCAACCAATGGTATGAAAAATTTGCTAAATTTGAAGAAAGTTAATGTCACAACTGGAAATACAAATTAAAA